TATTTGTCCTTTTGTGACTGAGATACTTCACTCAACATAATGTCCTCCAGGGTCACCCATTTTGAATAATATTGCATGGGTTCCTTGTTTTTCATTGCAGCATAGCATTCCATTGTGTGAATATACCACAACTTCTCTATCCATTCATTTGTTGATGAACACTTAGGTTGCTTCCAACTCCTTGCTGTTGTGAACAAAGCCACAATAAACATGGGTGTGCATATATCTGCTTGGATGTCAGTGATGGTCTCTTTGGGCTATATTCCCAGCAGTGGGATTGCTGGATCAAATGGTGTCTGTATTTGCAACTTTTTGAAAAAGCGCCATACCTCCTTCCACAGTGGTTGCACCATTTTACACTCGATGGGGGGGCTTTAATTTTAAAATTTATATAAAAAAATTTTTTAAAGATCAAGTGGAATTTGATGAGAATAATTTGCAGTGTATTTAAAAATGTTTGTTGAGGTATAATTAACATTATAGTAAAATGTTTAGATATTAAGAATGCATGTAATTTGCTTGAAAAATTCATACTCTTCTGACATTTAATATATCATTTCCATCATTACAGAAAATTGTCTGTGTCTCTTTCCAAATTAACAGACTTCTCTAATAACTGATAATGTTTGCAGTTGGGTTTTTTTTTTATTTTCTACTAAGTTAATTATAACTGATAATGTTTTTATACTTATTTGTCTTTTGTCCATTCTAAAATTACATGGAAATATACATTATGTCCTTTTCTTGGTTTCTTTGGTTCTGTATGTTTTTGAAACTTATCTGAGTTACATGGGTCATCAATTTGTTCCTTCTTATTGCTGAATAAAAACATCATGCAATATTCTATTTTGTGGATAAATATGCATCAGTTCATTTATTCATTCTTCAGCTGGTGACCATCTGGTTATTTCCAGTTTTTGGTGATATAAGTAAAGCTTCAATAAACATTTTTGTTCAAGGATTTTTGTGGGCATGTTTTCATTTTTTATGAGATCATTATCTATGAGTGGATTTCCTGGATTTATTTACAAACCTGCCAAAGAATTTTCTTAAATGGTTGTGGACCCAAAGTAAGATGTAGGCGTTTTTTCAAGGTACCCAGCATTTCGGGCGTGCTCCTGGGTGGAAGGGAGACTTGAGGGCGGGCACAAGGAATTCCAGCCCAGATAAGAGACGAAGAGGCGTTTTTCCAAGGTACCCAGCATTTCCGGCGGGCCCGAGGGCCGCAACATAATCCACTCAGGAGTTCTACAGGACACGGCACCTTCCCTTAGAAACAGCTCAACTAAACTCAAGAGACACTGGTCAAAAGGAAAATGTCAGCAGTCGACGTTTTTGGAATCACAGAAGCCAAGAAAGCTTAAGATAGACCTGTCAGATCATGGGTTGGACAATGGTTGTGTTATATCCCACCAGTAATATTTTTATCTAGCTAGCTATGAGCTTCAGTTGCTCAAAATTATTTTCTACATTATGTGTTGTCAATCTTCTTTAATGTATTTAAAGAAGTATGTAAAAATTTTGTTTCTATTTGCAGTTTCTAACAGTGGAAAACAGTTTTTTCCCTGTGTTTATGGATCATTTGAGTATTTTCCTTTGTAACATGTCTATTAATTAATTTTTTTTTTTGCCAGGGGGCTGGACTTTGTGAGGAGGAACGTCGCAACATAATGGGAGAAAGACTCATCAACAATTTGCTTTATGCAGATGTCACAACCTTGCTTGCCAAAACTGAAGAGGACATGAAGTGTTTGTTGCAAAAAACCAAGAACTTCAGTTTTCAATATGGATTGAAACTAAACATAAAGAAAAAGAAGGTTTCTCACCACAGGGCCAATTGACAGCTCTATGATAGATGAAAAAGAGATTGAGATGTTAACACTTTTAGCTTACTTGGGTCATCAGACTCAAAATGCCCCATGCCAGTCCATCTCATCTCTCCAATGCCTAATATGTCAATATTTATG